GTTTGCAAACGGCCTGGACAGCCCAGTCAGTATGCAAACGGACTGAAAAGTCAGGCCGTTTGAATACGGGCTGAAATTCCAGGCTGTATGCAAACCGCCTGAAATTTCAGGCCGTTTGCAAACCGTCTAGGCCGTATGACAACTTTCCAGACACCAGGCCGTTTGCAAACGGTCTAGGCATTTTGAAAACAATCTGGTCTGCATAAAGTTACAGCGAGTTTGTTGAAGCACGATCGTTTCATGACATTACATCATACATGGCACCATGAAATCCTGAGGTGCATTCGGCATCCGGAAAAAGATCGTCACTCGGATATTCTCCGTTGGAAAATTATTGTTGAGCGCCTATCTTCAGCATGTCTCGTTATCGCGATACCGTTCGTGATCCCCGATGATTTTCGATAGTTCCGGAAAATTCTCCCTGATCTTCCAGATGACGAATGCAGGCCTGGTTAGGAAGAGATTAGCAGAACTGAGACCCAACCCGTACAGCGCCCGGTCGACCCGGGCTTCCCCCGGACTTCAAAGTTTCGCCTTCCACCGCAATGGTCAAGTATTGCCGGCGTACGCCACCGGCCAGCCGCCGGCGGTCGACCGGGCGCGGTGAGGACTCTAATGTGAACCAGTGGTGTGGGAACTTCTTCGATCCAGACTGGGGGGGGGGGGGGCTGAACCATAATAGAGATCAACCTAGGGTACCCCCAAATCTAGTTTTCTCACCCGTTTTAGGCCACTTATTTTTCAGACCTCGGCCTTTTCAACAAAAAAAAAAAACGAAAATATTTGCAAAAAAAGTCAGGTATCCCGTCTCAACTGAGTGAAGAAACTACCGTTTTGGCAACCTGGAATAAAGGTTTTAATCTGCCAAATGAGTTGCCGAGCCAGTGAAAGAGGTGGATTTTTCACTTACATGCTTTCTTCCTGTGACCCACAACCCCTAATTTGGGGAGGAGAGGACAAGCTGCCCCAACGGTTCCTGACCTCATGAAAAGTTGTGGGGCACCGCCCCCACGGCCTCAGAGCTGTGGGAGCAAGCTTCCCCCACTGCCCCCTCCCCCGGTTCCCCCGCCTATGTATGAATCTATGAAATTATGTTGGTAGATTTCCGATTTCGATTCCTCTAGCTGGGGGGGGGGGGGGGCTCAAATACATTACAAGCGCTCCCTCCCCCAGCCGAAAAGCTGGAGGGGCTCAGCCCCCGCTAGCCCCCCCCCCCTCCCCGGTTCCCGCGCCACTGAGTTCACATTGTGAACTCTGATGTCCATTGCGCGCTCCGGCGTTTTATGCCGCAAAATAATCGGTGAGTCTTGTAGGTAGTGATACGTTTCACCAGATCTCACCAGTAGTGGCTTCACCAGGCTCCATCAACTGGATGGCCGTACACAGGCGGACCGTGAACTTGTATAATTAGTAATATTGTCGAAAAACGGCCGGGCCGACCATTAGCACAGTAAAAAAAATGTTCGACGTATGTAGACGAGTCATTCGGCATGGAATGCGCAAGCATTCACATGGATGCAACCTGATCATCGACCAACCTGGATCCATTAAGTTCAATCTTCAGAGGCTGTTGTACTTCGCTAGACCGTTTGAAAACTGACTAGGCCGTTTTCAAACTGTCTAGGCCGTTTCAAACTGCCTAGGCCGTTTTCATACGGCCTGATATTTCAGGCGGTTTGCAAACGGCCGGCTTTTTCAGGCCGTTTTCAAACGGCCTGACTGGGTCAGGCCGTTTGCAAACGGACTGGGTTTTCATACGGTCTGTAACATATATAATTTACGCTTGTCATCCTATTCCTAATGAATGTGTCTCAGAAAATATGCATAATATAAATCACGAAGCAAAATTATTCGCCTATGTTCGGAACATACCTATATCGTGCTGTTTGCCCCAGCGCTCCTAGAGTGGGGTATTAAGATACTCTAACGTGAATATTCCATGTTCAGGCAAGTTCCGGCAGCCAAACTAGGCGTTGTCTATGTCTTGTGTAGGAGAAAGCGGCGAATTCGATAGGATATGTTTCGGAGTGGAAAAGTGTGGAAAACATTGTTGATTTCCTACATTTATTTAGAATACCTTTCCTTAAATATGGTGTCTGTAAGGTTTTTTTTTTGTAAATGGCATTTTTGTGACCTTCGTAAGGTTGTGGCATACTTTCTGTTTGCCATTCCACTCCTAATAAAGGTGCCTTTCAGAAGATATGCAACTTTAAGACCTCGCAAGAATAAACCCAACAGGACAGGACAATGAAATTGAGCTATACTTTCGGGCCTTACTGAGCCCATTGAGTAATCATGCATAAGTGTGAACTTTGGGCGCATTTTTCCTAGTCTTGCTGTAGACATACAGATAAAACAATGCCATATATGAAAAATTCAGACATTTCTTAGCCCCACTGACACCAAAAAAATAAACAAAATCCAAAAAAGATTTTTGGAATTAACCCGGCAGGTTGCTGGAGTATTTCGCCACCCACCGTTTGCTGGGGGGGGGGGGGGCGTTAAACGCCCCCAGCCGATAACTCGAGAACCAATAGGCGCAGCGAAACGCACGAGGCGGCAAACGAAAAAACGCGACGAGACGCTTCAGATGAGTACTTTAAAGTTGAATTTTGAGGTCACAGGTCGGGTCAAGGTCAGGTCAAACACCTGAAATCGGGCTTTCAGTAGCATGGACTTCAGGACTTCGCAATGGGCGCCTTTCGCAATGAACTCTGTCAAAACGGTGCACAATCCATCTTATAAGGCCTACAAGAGTGTCAGCTCCATGTAGGGGTCAGTCAAGCATAGGTCAGGGTCAAGGTCATGTCAACCGGGTAGGCACATATCCCCGAAAATCAAAACTGATATTTGCAGCCTGTGACACATGTTTTATAGGTAATTTGGGGCGTAGAACACGATGGTGACATTCATTTTATCATATGTGTACGTGTTTGGCTCAAAAAGTTCAATTTAATAAATTCATGTATCATGGTCGTGAAGGAGTCACAAAAAATTGCCAAGATTCAGTTCAAGATTATGGAAAATGCAGAACGATAATCAATAATCGAAGATAGCCATTTGATTGATCATGGTATTGGCAGTCTAATGGCGTTTACGGCATGTCTGTATGTGTATTTTGTGATTTTATATGATTTTTTGAACATATGCCGTTTTTGGTCGAAAACTCAGAAATCATGACGTCACTAAAATCTCGATATCTCAAAAATTTTCCGACCGATTTTTTTGAAACTTTGTCACAATAAACTTCAACCAATTCCCTACAGGTGACCAAAATTTGGCGCGCCTGCGGCGCGCCGTTTTTATGCTATGACCCGGCGAAAAAAGTGGGGGCGTTTAACGCCCCCCCCCCAGCAACTCGCGGGTTAAGACGCGCTTGATTGGAAAAATCCCCACTGTGCACTGTCTCAAATAGCCCCACTTTACGGTACCCGATTTCACATCCACTCTCGGACAGAATGCATAGTCTTCAAGGACGGTGCAAGCATGGTCTCCCTCCTGCTGAATTCTGAAACCACTGCCGGTTGATGGTGTCGGCACAGCTGCGGGCTGCGGCGAGCGATAGAACCACTGGAGCACCCTCAGCCGCCTCTCATGGTTTATCGTCACCGGATTCTCGAGCTGTCGTCTTTAGGACCTCGAAGAACAAGGGGCCAAGTATCCATGGCCTGTGCGCATATATTACTTTTTCTGGTGTTTTACCGGTTGCGACGAAACTACGAATGACTTCAGATCTAGGGCGAGCTGATAAGGTCTTCATAGGGCCGAAAACTGAGCCGTATTTACGCTTTGTTCCAATGACAGACCCTCTCTTGGAGTTGAAATTCGATCACTTTAGTTTTCTGCTTACTGCTCAGTGTAGTTATCACCAGTAAAACGCCTTTTGGGCGAAGAACGAGCGAGCGAGATAGTGAGCCCTGCACGTGCGGAAGGGCCAGAGGGTACTTCCAACTGGCTTGTGCAAAGCACGCTTCTAACCGGTCGCTAGCGGTGTGCCAAATTTGAACGCAATCGGCCCAGCCGTTCCTGAGATCTGGAAGCGACATTCTGCACGTGCGCACGTGCAAACGGGGTCCAAAATGACTTTTGCACGGCACCCTACTAACCGGTCCCCAACCGTGTACCAAATTTGAGCGCAATCGGCCCAGCCGTTCTCGAGATCTGGAAACACCCCCTGCACGTGCGCACGTGCAGTACCTAGCACCCTAACCGCAACACATGGGCATGCATTGCCTGGTGGGTGCCTACCTGTATGCCAAGTTTCAGCGAAATCGCCCCAGTAATTACCGAGTTACTGAAATGGGAACAAATTTGGCACCTCTTCTTTTTGCATTTTGCACGTGCAGTGGGGTCACTCACATAGATCAAGGGTATCCGACCTTTGGTAGAAGGGATGCAGCTACCCTACAGAAATTACCGCAAGACAATCGCCCAAGCGGCTGCTGAGATATGAGCCTCTCAAAATCGCTACTTTTGCAAAACAGCTTGAACACCCTTGACTTTTCACGTGGCACGTGCCACGACGGTCACTGAGATGTATCAAAAGTAGTCAATTACGGGGTAGAAGGAATGGGGCTATCCAGCAAAAAAGACCGCAGGCCAATCGGTCCTGCGGTTGCTGAGATATAAGCCTCTCAAAAGCGTTACAGGCCGGGCCGGGCCGGGCCGCTCATACTGAGATTTTTCCGTTATATTGAAAAGACTTCGTTTCGCTCGCTGCGCTCGCTCGCTCGTAATCAGAAATGATTTAAGTATGCCAGACAATAATTCTTAAATGTACCGTACACGTGCTTAAATTTGAATTTATTCGGATTCTTACTTCTCGAGATATTTCAAATTTAAATAATAACTTTATTTTTGGGACAAAAATAAATAAGTATAAGTATGTCAAACATGCGGCTACAATCGGCCTATGATCAGCTGTCTGACCTTCATGTGGTAGGAGGTGACCGGGCTGCCGGGCAGGTCGGCTACAATCGGCCTATGATCAGCTGTCTCACCTTCATGTGGTAGGAGGTGACCGGGCTGCCGGGCAGCTCCAGGTGCCGGTCTCGTAGCGTCTTCAGTATAGAGAGCACGCGGCGCCGACAGCCGCCGTACAGCAGCCGGCTCTCCGCCTCGCTGAACGTCAGCACCCAGGCGTCGCCCTCCATCGAGTTCTGTTTGCTCTGAATCGCCTGGCTCTCCTTGCTGAGCAGGTCGAAGCCCTCTGCCTTCACCTCTGCCACCAGACTGGGGTTGGGCCAGCCGAGACCTGGCACCGGCCAGTGAGCTGCCGAGCGCGGCCAAACGCCGGCGCAGCGGAACGACGGCGTCACCTGCACCACGTACCGGTCGCGGATCCGCATCCGCACCTCGGTCGTGTCGCCGATCATCTTGACGCAGTCGCGGTAGTGTGACTTGTCGCACGCCTGCGCACACAGGGTCTGCAGCTTGGCGCGCATCTTCCGGGCCGACAGGTAGCCGGAGGCGGTGATGAACTCGATCCACAGCGACATGCTGCGCTTGCGGCCGTCGCTGAGTTTGAGCACCGAGCAGCCCGGGATGGTGCCGTCGTCGACAAAGTTGAACTCGCCCATCTGGTTCAGGTAGAGAACGACCTCGAACTCTGTCGGGGAGAGCACCTCGAGACCCTCGAACCGTCCATTGCACTCGGTGAGCGAGGAGATGACGCGCGGCTCCTGCACCTCCACCTCCTTCAGAATGTCCTGCACCACCTTGCACACCTCGCGCACCGTCTTGGCTACGGCCGCCTTGCGAGCCTGCACGCACTCAGAGTAGTACTTGTTGAACTGATACATTGCCGACGACTGGGAGGAAAGCACCTCGGACGAGAGGTGGGCCAGCCCGTCAGTCGGCATCTTGGCTCGGTCGAGCCTCCGCGTCAGGAAGAGCCGCCGCCGCCGCCGGTACTGCGGCGAGCGGTGTCGGTGGCCGGCGCCCGTCGGCCGCTCACTGGGGCGGGGCTACTGAGCAGACCGACCAGCTATTGGTGTAGCCGATCACCGGAGGCGGGGCATCTACAACAAGCCAACAAAGGACGGCCGCGTCCCGTGGGAGGTGCCCTGGGCTCCTGTAGCTGGGTGGGCAATCGCCATATCGAGTCGAAAGCTGACGGAGTCCAGGCCAGCCGGGCCAAACAGCTCAAGTGCTTTAGCCGCACTCAAAATAGCACTAAGTCACCAGCTTATGAGGTCAATGAGGTTCTAGTCACACTCTTAGTTCTTAGCTTAAGGCTCTTAGTTACAGACAAGCATATTCAGAAATGTTTCAAATCGTTATGTACAGGTTGGGGCAGAAAGATTTACCTCTTGATTTTATTAAATATTTCGGCCCCGAACAAAGATATCGAATTGATTTCTGGCACATATAAGCAGTGACGTGTACACATCTCAGCGACGGCATTGTGGCTCAATATGGTCACCTTGGTCCAGTGGCGTATCCAGAAATCAGCGAAAGGGGGGCCATGATGCTCGAGGGGCGACTTTTTCCCTTGAGAGGGGCGCCATTGTCAGCTAGTGACAGGGGCGTCAGTCTAAAATGTAACGTCATGTTCATGCATGATTTAACCCGCGCACCGACGGGGGGGGCGGATATCCGCCCCCCCTGAGGTTTTTCGCGGATAGCGGGAAAACCGCGGCGCGTAGCGCCGCGAAATTTGGTACGACTATTCCCTCATCAATTTTACACATGGTGTGCAAGTTTGAACCTCCTAACTTTTAAGGTCAGGTCACCAGGTCACTTTGAATGACCCAACCTCAAGTCAATTTTTTGCAACTTTGTCACCGTGCCAGAGCTACAGTAGATGTCGGAGGCCTTTGAAAGTCGCAGGATGTTATTAGGTCATTAGTAGCTACAACTTGTTTATCTCGGAATTTTGTTGTCGGTGACCTAAGGTCAGGTCAATTTCTCGACCTCCCCATTATAAGTCAATGGGGGGAAAAATCAACTCCCTGTTTTTACCACTAAAACGCGTCGGAATGGCCCCATATACCATACATGACTTCATATACGATCAACCTTCACTACCTGGAGGTCTGTTTTGCTGTTGGGCAGCTGTTAGGTCATGTGACGTCATCAAAGGTCACCAAAGGTTTTTTTTGCCAATAACTCCGTACAGGAACAAGATACAGCCGCGCGGATGGTCTCATTGTGTTCAGCTCGTCAAGACGCATCGAATGATATACATGATGACCTCAAGGTCACGTGACCTGCGGTCAACCTTTGACCTTGACTTTTCGAGGTCAACATATATATCATTGGATGCGGATTGACGAGAGGATCACGATGATGCCCTTAGTTTGTTCCTAGCTTGACTAATTCGAAAGTTATTCGAGAAAAACTCTCTCCATATCTAGCGCCGCCATTTTGACTTTTTCGACCCCTGTGACGTCATCTTTGACCTGACCTGAAAATGACCTTAGTAAAAATTGTAGACCTTGTCCGTGCGTATCCGATGCCGTTTACCGCTTGTCGCTATCATCCTTCGTTCTCGAGATCTCAGGAGGGGGGGGGGGCGGGAAGTTGGCGCAGACCCCCGTCGGTGCGCGGGTTAATAGGCGCTGCAAAATACGAGTATAAAAACTAGGTTTCGCTGATTTGTCATAAAATCCAATTAATGCAATTTGCAGCCCGGTGTTGTTTTATCAAACAACCTTGATCTTGATGTGAAGAACTCCAATCCATGAAGTCCCGGGTCGAGGAAAACATCAGGATTTTGCAGGTTTGGTTCAGTTCTGACGGTCTAAAAATGAACACCGAAAAAATATGTTTCACTATTTTTGGTTCGCCTAACTCCGTCTCCAGATCATCAGACTTCATCTTACATGTGGATGGAGTGGACATTCGGCCTCAAAAGCACATCAAAATCCTAGGTGTTCTCTTCGACCAAACACTGAGCTGGGAAGCGCACATCTCATCCTTGGTCCGACGCCTGAACACAATACTCATATCGCTATACAAAATCCGTCATTTCCTCTCCCCCAACATCTTCAAAATCCTTGTCCTTGCCCACGTTTTCCCCCACCTCCATTACTGCTTGTCAGTGTGGGGTGGTGCTCCTAACTGCCGTCTTGACCGGCTGCAAAAAGTCCTCCATTTCGCAGCTCGGCTGGTCACCGGTCTCCGCCGATACGACCATGTCGGCCCCGCTCTCGCCGCGCTCGGCTGGCCGGACATTCGGGAGATGATCGCGCGTCGTGACGCGCTGAACGTATATCGCGCTCTCCACGTTGTTTCCGCGCCCGGCCCCCTGCGTGCGATGTTTCGCCCTCGTGCCGCCGTATCGGAGCGCGAGACGCGCAGCGCTGCCGCGGGGGTGTCGGTGCTGGAGCTGCCCCGCTACCGGCTCACCATGGCGAGGCGGCTCTTCCCATACAGGGCCGCGGTATCGTGGAATGAGCTTCCACGAGATGTGACCTCATGTCCGACCAGGCGCTCCTTGTGTGGTCATTTTTAAGCCTGATTTGATATTTATGACAGATGCACGTCTCAAGTTTTTACCCTTTTTAATGTGCTTTGTTTCATTGAGTTTGTATTGACTGGGCCCTAAGAGCCACTTTGTGGAACGGCCTTTGAATACACAATACACAATAGGTACACAATATTAAGCACGATATAGGAAACGAGCTCAGGCTACAGACATTTTATTATCAAAAAACGCATCCATGCAAATTCGAAACGGTAAAACATTCATTGATCGATGAGCACATTTTTATTCTTTGCAAAAAAAAAATATACAGGTTCACCCACTGATCCAAAGTGACCTGTGGGCTGCAGCCTGTGGTCGACCGGAGTGGCCGTGCTTAGAATCTAAGACCGCACGTAGTATGAAGGATTCACGCTGCGACTTATTGCCGAAATTGGAATCCAGGAAAGACTTGAACATTTCAGACCATAAGATCCAACATGAGATCCCAACTGATTGTCATACTAGCAGCGACTGCAGTCAGAGGCGACCGAACGCTTACATACGTTCTGGATTTTTTTCTCCACAAATCACCTTAAATTCGATGTCTATAGTGCGCGCAGCCCCTACTTGTGGACATGGGTGACTGCATGAGTGCCAGATAGATGAGGCGTGAGACTGTCCCATATAGTGGCACTAAGGTAAAGGATGTCCTCGGCCGACGTAGTATAGAAGACGACCTTTGATGATGTGAGTGTGCATGATCGACTTTGAATAAGCGCCATAGATACCTGCTGATCTCACTGAACATTCGCCTTGCGCAATCCCCGGTCAAAATATCTACGTTGAGGGACAGGTCAATTTTGCGACCTCTCCATTACCTATTAGTTAAACCGCGCAGTGCTGGTGGCCTGTGTTTTCCGTGTCATGCGGGGGGGGGGGCGTTTTCACGCGACCCACTCTAGCTTGGCTCCTGGGCCACGTAGCGACACGCGGTAAGCGGCAATCGAAAGAGCGTCAAAATTATGACGGAAACATTTTGTTAAGTTTTCAGGTCAGGTCAAATGTCAGGTCGCCAGAGGTCATCAAAGGTCAAATTTAGTCCATTTAAACAATTTTGGGAACTGCCAACGGATAAATTGGGAACCAATAGAGCTACAGCGCCGCGGAAAAGCTTATTCGATAGCCATTTTACAGACCTTTCTGATTATTGCCTTCAGAATTGACCGCGGGTCCACGGTTTAGCCTCCAGATGGCAAAACTCCAAAAATATCTGTTTTTAAGAAAAACGTTTTCGGCAATACCTTTTGCCTCGAGACAATGACGAGATTTATTTTGCCAGCATCGTGTTCCTCCCGTCGAGACGCGTCGAAAGAACTATACGTTGACATTGAAATGTCATTTTAAAAATTTGACCTCAGGTCAAGGTCATGACCTGACCGGAAAGGGTCATGCTGCATATCAGTCAATCCGTATCGTCGAGCTGAACACATCTGACATAGTTTCACCGCTCTAGCATATTTTTATCAAAAGTTATAGCCAAAAAACTGCTGGTGACCGTTCATGGCCTGAGATGACCTCAGGAGCATACAGAAGAGTCACAACTCACAGGTGCATTTTTTCTATTCAGTGTGTTTTGTTTACCTATGAACCGATGTTTGAGAGGGCATTGAACAACATTCGTCCAAAAGAGGCGCATTTCATAGTTTCTCCCATTGACTTGTAATGGAGAGGTCGCAAAATTGGCCTGACCTTAGGTCACAGACATAATAAGTCCGAGATAAACATGTTATACATATTGGCCATTTTCACGACGGCCATCTGGTACACATTTGGTGCACATCTGGTACAGATTAGGTGCAGATCTGGTCAAATCAGGTTCAGTGTGTCTCTTAGCAGCTATCAGCTAGGGTTGTTTGCTTATATGCCTGCTTTGTCATATTATCATAGAGCATCATTGATTAAAACACTGAAATAAGTTCATAAAATGAAGATATCTATTTTATTAATTATAATTCACTTATATAAAAATCAAAATGTCTGTACGTATGTATGTATGTAACGCGTCAGTCACGCTTGGCGGGCTATTGCTCCGGAACGGTGCGGGCTACGGGGGTGGAATTTTGGACGCAAGTCAGACGCGTGCATCTGTTTGTCGTATCAACTTTTCGTGGGGGTGCGTGCAGCGGTGTGCACGTGACGGGCGCATCTTTGCCGCATTTTGGGCCGCGGCCGGCTTCGAGCAGACGGCACGCGCTTAGGCTCAGTTTCTTCGCTTGCAAAACTGAGCGAAATCAGAGCCGGAAGGTCACTGACCTTTGGCAATGAATACCGGAACAGAGCACCGCCGGCCAGGAGGAGTCACCAAATTTATTCTGGCCATAACTCGGCCACTACTGGGCCGATTTTACAATTGATGTAATGACAATTGATTTATTACGCTGCACGTAATGCTGTCCCTCTTTACGCTGCGCGTAATGCTGTCCCTCTAGTTTA